TCAGTTGTGTGGAATGAGGTGGTCAGTTGTGTGGAATGAGGTGGTCAGTTGTGTGGAATGAGGTGGTCAGTTGTGTGGAATGAGGTGGTCAGTTGTGTGGAATTAGGTGGTCAGTTGTGTGAAATGAGGTGGTCAGTTGTGTGGAATGAGGTGGTCAGTTGTGTGGAATTAGGTGGTTAGGTGTGTGGAATGAGGTGGTTAGGTGTGATGAATGAGGTGGTCAATTGTGTGGAATGAGGTGGTCAGTTGTGTGGAATGAGGTGGTTAGGTGTGTGAAATGAGGTGGTCAGTTGTGTGGAATGAGGTGGTCAGTTGTGTGGAATGAGGTTGTCAGTTGTGTGAAATGAGGTGGTCAGTTTTGTGGAAGGAGGTGGTTAGGTGTGTGGAATGAGGTGGTCAGTTGTGTGGAATTAGGTGGTCAGTTGTGTGGAATGAGGTGGTCAGTTGTGTGAAATGAGGTGGTCAGTTGTGTGGAATGAGGTGGTCAGTTGTGTGAAATGAGGTGGTCAGTTGTGTGAAATGAGGTGGTAAGTTTTGTGGAATAAGGTGGTCAGTTGTGTGGAATGAGGTGGTAAGTTGTGTGGAATGAGGTGGTCAGTTGTGTGGAATGAGGTGGTAGGTTGTGTGGAATGAGGTGGTTAGGTGTGTGGAATGAGGTGGTCAGTTGTGTGGAATGAGGTGGTCAGTTGTGTGGAATGAGGTGGTCAGTTGTGTGGAATGAGGTGGTAAGGTGTGTGAAATGAGGTGGTCAGTTGTGTGGAATGAGGTGGTCAGTTGTGTGGAATGAGGTGGTCAGTTGTGTGGAATGAGGTGGTCAGTTGTGTGGAATGAGGTGGTCAGTTGTGTGGAATGAGGTGGTCAGTTGTGTGGAATGAGGTGGTCAGTTGTGTGGAATGAGGTGGTCAGTTGTGTGGAATGAGGTGGTCAGTTGTGTGGAATGAGGTGGTCAGTTGTGTGGAATGAGGTGGTCAGTTGTGTGGAATGAGGTGGTCAGTTGTGTGGAATGAGGTGGTCAGTTGTGTGGAATGAGGTGGTCAGTTGTGTGGAATGAGGTGGTCAGTTGTGTGGAATGAGGTGGTCAGTTGTGTGGAATGAGGTGGTCAGTTGTGTGGAATGAGGTGGTTAGGTGTGTGGAATGAGGTGGTCAGTTGTGTGGAATGAGGTGGTCAGTTGTGTGGAATGAGGTGGTCAGTTGTGTGGAATGAGGTGGTCAGTTGTGTGGAATGAGGTGGTCAGTTGTGTGGAATGAGGTGGTCAGTTGTGTGGAATGAGGTGGTCAGTTGTGTGGAATGAGGTGGTCAGTTGTGTGGAATGAGGTGGTTAGGTGTGTGGAATGAGGTGGTCAGTTGTGTGGAATGAGGTGGTTAGGTGTGTGGAATGAGGTGGTGAGTTGTGTGAAATGAGGTGGTCAGTTGTGTGGAATGAGGTGGTCAGTTGTGTGGAATGAGGTGGTTAGGTGTGTGGAATGAGGTGGTCAGTTGTGTGGAATGAGGTGGTCAGTTGTGTGGAATGAGGTGGTCAGTTGTGTGGAATGAGGTGGTCAGTTGTGTGGAATGAGGTGGTCAGTTGTGTGGAATGAGGTGGTCAGTTGTGTGAAATGAGGTGGTCAGTTGTGTGGAATGAGGTGGTTAGGTGTGTAGAATGAGGTGGTCAGTTGTGTGAAATGAGGTGGTCAGTTTTGTGGAATGAGGTGGTCTGTTGTGTGGAATGAGGTGGTCAGTTGTGTGGAATGAGGTGGTCAGTTGTGTGGAATGAGGTGGTCAGTTGTGTGGAATGAGGTGGTCAGTTGTGTGGAATGAGGTGGTTAGGTGTGTGGAATGAGGTGGTCAGTTGTGTGGAATGAGGTGGTCTGTTGTGTGGAATGAGGTGGTCAGTTGTGTTGAATGGGGAATGGGAAGTGGGTTCAATTAAAATGCCAAGATTTGTGAGGCCACTCACACATACGCAAACATACTGAACAAGCTAGATAAAAGCCTTTAAAAATTTAACAGCATGGATTTAAACGTTTATTTTCCTTAACATTTTTATATTAAGCCTTGGACAGATGCGATTGTTGTCTACTGTAATAATGGTACGAGTTGTAGACACACAGGTTTTTACCAGTATACTTTGGCGTTACTCTTTACATAAACTTAAAGCAGCAAAAAAATATAAATTCATTCAAGTTCAATTTTTTATTGAAGTGAACCAAATGAAAACATCAGACCATATGATCATATTTACAATTTACAATACATTGTACATTTTGGTATGTATAGGATATTCAATAATTATCACACACACACACACACACACATATATATATATATATATATATATATATATATATATATATATATATATATATATAATGAATTCGTGTAGTCAACTGTATAATTATTATTAATATTATCAATATTTTAAATAAAGTAATGTAAATCATACATGTATTTTTTAAAAAAAGTCAATCAATCTCAAATAGTAAATAAACCGGGAGTGATCTCCCCTAAACTTTCTCGAATATTCTTATATAAAACAACAGGGGATGGGAACTCGTTACATAGTTATGATTTTTAATCCATTTTAAATACTTAAACTTTTAAAAATAGAATAGAATCTCATAGAAAAAAGAATTGCGCACCAAGCGAACTCCAAATTAAGATGTTCATAATAGTGCGCAATATTATTAGTACTTTATAAATGTACATGCGTTTTTTGAGAAATCAGAAATAACGTAAATTAGTACTTCCCGTCAACGGAAATTACTCAAAATTTGACAGAAGGTAGAGATATAGATCTTTTACTTTCAGGTGAAATTTCATTTATCTATCTGAAACAGTACTCAAGGGTTAGGCTTTTGAAAAATTCAAAGTAGAAAAAGTACCACTTCCGGTTATCGGAAATCGCTCAAAAGTTGATACGGATCTACGATTTTGATAAAATACTTATATAAAATATTTCATCAACCTAGCTGTAACGGTACTCAAGTTATCGTGTTTACACACGGACAGACAGACAGACAGACAGACATACGGACAAGATTGCAAAATTATGTTTTTCCGTATCAGTGAGGTGTAAAACGTCGAGATTTGTAAAAATCTCGATTTTTTTTTTGCACGATTACAAGACTTTCTCTATACTTCGTATATATGAGAAAGTAAAAATCTAGCCTTATATTAGGTTACCATCAATAGATTAAGGCATTGTTAGTTCTGGTCAATATATAGTCTACTTGATTGAACAAGTTCAGGTCAATATATACTTGATTGAACAAGTTCTGGTCAGTCAATATATAATTGATTGAACAAGTTCTGGTCAATATATACTTGATTGAACAAGTTCTGGTCAATATATACTTGATCGAACAAGTACTGGTCAGTCAATATATAATTGATTGAACAAGTTCTGGTCAATATATACTTGATTGAACAAGTTCTGGTCAATATATACTTGATTGAACAAGTTCAGGTCAATATATACTTGATTGAACAAGTACTGGTCAGTCAATATATACTTGATTGAACAAGTTCTGGTCAATATATACTTGATTGAACAAGTTCTGGTCAATATATACTTGATTGAACAAGTTCTGGTCAATATATACTTGATCGAAAAGTACTGGTTAATATATACTTGATTGAACAAGTTCTGGTCAATATATACTTGATTGAATAAGTTCTGGTCAATATATACTTGATTGAACAAGTTCTGGTCAATCTATACTTGATTGAACAAGTTCTGGTCAATATATACTCGATTGAACAAGTTCTGGTCAATATATACTTGATCGAACAAGTACTGGTCAGTCAATATATAATTGATTGAACAAGTTCTGGTCAATATATACTTGATTGAACAAGTTCTGGTCAATATATACTTGATTGAACAAGTTCAGGTCAATATATACTTGATTGAACAAGTACTGGTCAGTCAATATATACTTGATTGAACAAGTTCTGGTCAATATATACTTGATTGAACAAGTTCTGGTCAATATATACTTGATTGAACAAGTTCTGGTCAATATATACTTGATCGAAAAGTACTGGTTAATATATACTTGATTGAACAAGTTCTGGTCAATATATACTTGATTGAACAAGTTCTGGTCAATATATACTTGATTGAACAAGTTCTGGTCAATATATACTTGATTGAACAAGTTCAGGTCAATATATACTTGATTGAACAAGTACTGGTCAGTCAATATATACTTGATTGAACAAGTTCTGGTCAATATATACTTGATTGAACAAGTTCTGGTCAATATATACTTGATTGAACAAGTTCTGGTCAATATATACTTGATTGAACAAGTTCAGGTCAATATATACCTGATTGAACAAGTACTGGTCAGTCAATATATACTTGATTGAACAAGTTCTGGTCAATATATACTTGATTGAACAAGTTCTGGTCAATATATACTTGATTGAACAAGTTCTGGTCAATATATACTTGATCGAAAAGTACTGGTTAATATATACTTGATTGAACAAGTTCTGGTCAATATATACTTGATTGAACAAGTTCTGGTCAATATATACTTGATTGAACAAGTTCTGGTCAATCTATACTTGATTGAACAAGTTCTGGTCAATATATACTTGATTGAACAAGTTCAGGTCAATATATACTTGATTGAACAAGTTCTGGTCAATATATACTCGATTGAACAAGTTCTGGTCAATATATACTCGATTGAACAAGTTCTGGTCAATCTATACTTGATTGAACAAGTTCTCGTCAATATATACTTGATTGAACAAGTTCTGGTCAATATATACTTGATTGAACAAGTTCAGGTCAATATATACTTGATTGAACAAGTTCTGGTCAATATATACTTGATTGAACAAGTTCTGGTCAATATATACTTGATTGAACAAGTTCAGGTCAATATATACTCGATTGAACAAGTTCTGGTCAATATATACTCGATTGAACAAGTTCTGGTCAATATATACTCGATTGAACAAGTTCTGGTCAATCTATACTTGATTGAACAAGTTCTGGTCAATATATACTTGATTGAACAAGTTCTGGTCAATATATATGCTTGATGTTAAAAATATTCATGTCGAAAAACGAATCCATACTTATGACTGTATTGTTTGAGCGTTTTGCCGAGGAGCGGAGATCCACAGAAGAAGACAGTTACCCTGCCCTTTGCATTCTTACTAATTTTTCTAAACAACTGAAAAAAAAAAGTTAAATGAATAATACAATATTACAATTAGCCTATTAAAATGTGTTGAATGAAATGTGCCTAAAGAGTGTGTAAGTTTTGAACCAATCGTGTTAGCCTTTAAAGTATAAACTGTGCTAGAAAAATGATTTGCTTATCTAGACGTCCTTTATTACATTCATCATCGAGGACAGGGGGCGCTGGTAAGTATATATTGTTTATTTATTCTATCTCGTTTGGGAGTGTGTGTGTGTGTGTGTGTGTGGGGGGGGGGGGGGGTTGTTGTGTTAGGCGTATTTCGGAAGGGGAGGGGGCTATCCCCCCCTTTGGCGAAATGATACCTGAAAGAATCTCTGCGACTCTGCTTATACTTATATATAGATCTAGGACTAATTATTCATACGAAAAAAAATATTTGTAAGACCTGCAGAGCAAGAGCTACATACGTTGTATATTTAAGGGTGTCGGTTATACTAACTTTGAATAGTATCGATGAAGGGGGTTCCACTGACAGGTGTCATATTCAATGAGGTCCTATTGATATGGACGCATTTCTCCTGAGCCTAAGGGACCGGAGCCCATTTTTCGGTAGTATTAATGACGGGAGCCGATTTTTCGGGAGCCGATATGTCGGGAGCCGATATGTTGGGTCTTGATAGCATTAAATTGACTTTTAGAACTTTTTAAAGGGATTTTTCTCCAGTTACAAAAAGTAAATGCCTATTTTGAAAAATAATATCATGTTTTGTAAATCTTATAAATATTTTCACACATATTGGGAAAAAAAGTTATTAAAACAGTGCTTCTTAACCTTTTTGGAAGTTTCAAGCCGCGCCAGCTTCATATGTACATTCCCCGAACCCGTCTTAAAAGGAAACATAAAATGTGGATTTTTTCCAATTCAAATCATAGTGATTTATTTTACTAGTGCACACAATTAACCGTGCACCAACATCGCTGTGTTCAAAGAACAAAGCCGTAAAAATGTGATTTTCACAACAAAAAAATGATGTGTCTGCCATCGTCTGCTAGTTTTATCGTTCTGACCAATCCGATTGCAAATCACGTGAGTCGGCTGTCTGTCTTGACCTCCGCCGAACCTCTGAGACTGACTCACCTTGACCTAGGGTTTAACCGAACCCAAGTTAAGAACCACTGTTTTACAATATGCTTATTATGAAACTTGATATAAATGATCAAATTGTGAAGATTTTAAAAATTAGTAATAGAGTAAAATATTACTTTCGTTAACTGGAAATAGCTTAAAAGGTGATAGAAACCTACGGATTCAATTGAATACTTATATATGAAATTTCGTCTACCTAGTTGAAACTTTACTCAAGTTTTTTTTTTTTAAATAAACTGGATGTACCAAGTGTTGACGTACACACGCAGAAAAGATAAAAAAAAATTCATAAAAAACGTTTTAATAACAAGCTTTTATGTAATAATGCACTAAAAAGTAGAAAATAAATTATACACTATTATTTAAATTACTATAAAGAAAAGCGTGGGTCACTTTAGTACCGATTGGATACCTTTACTAATATTTGAGAAGAGACCCACGCTTTTCTTTATAGTAATTTAAATAATAGTGTATAATTTATTTTCTACTTTTTAGTGCATTATTACATAAAAGCTTGTTATTAAAACGTTTTTTATGAATTTTTTTTTCAGTACTTTACATGTTTTATTTACAATAGAGTTACATGACTAAAAACCATTGCGCGCCTACTGAACGTGATGACGCAGCTATTGAACGTACCGTGATGGCGCAGCTATTGAACGTGATGACGCGTGTGGTGTGGTTGGCAAGACATGCCTACTAATTCGGTCCAAATTTTAATTAATTCATAGAAAATTAATTAGGCATCCAATTAAGTCAAATTTAATTTCAGATTGCATTGTCTTCATGTCTTGACCCACGTGTCAAATGTGAAACGTATCGGTCAAGTAGAAGTTTCCGAATTTTCACTCCTGCGTTTCGGTCTAGACAGACTGACGACTGACGAGGAAGTGAGTTAAATAAAAGCTTGTAAAAAAAAAAAATGAGGTTTTTTTTTCCGACTAAGGCGTAAAACTTGGAATTTTGTTGAAATCTCCATTTTTGAGTCTCCCCACCCCACCATTACATAATTCCCCTTTAAACCGTTTACGAGAATTAAAAATGTGTACTGACCAAAACCAATAACTAAATGTGAACTAACCAAATACAAGAAAATAAAAGTGCACTAACCAAGTCAAAATCTGGCCGACCAGCCTGGGTTCTAGTCTGTAGTCCAGTGATGAGGTCAGTTTTCTCTTTCTCGTGGACGATGTCCAGAGCCATTTGTAAAATTAAACCTTTCATGTCTGTTTTAGGTGGTGCTGACGTCATATACATGTGCATGTCTAATATATGACCTGAAAAAAAAAGGCCATCCCCTCGAACTGAATTCACATAACGTGAGAAGTTGGATACGGCTAAAATCTTTTCATTTTATAATAATCTCATGTTATGTCATTTAGAAACGTATTGCACTATGCAGATCAAGGCAACAAGCAGTTCAACAATCCGCATCTAGTTATCAACTTACCGAGTCCCCCCTCAATTTCCTGTTCTCGCTCAAGACGCGAGAGTAGCGAGACAAACCATTCAAAATGGCGTTGGTCTCGGTTGATCCAGATAAAATCTACCTGTCCAAACAAAATAAATTTAAAACTCTTTTCATTTCTTCTAATTGGCAGATATAAGACGTCTTCAAATGATCTCGTTTTTATCTCTACTAGAGCAAACTATCTTGCCATTGAACTAGTGACATGATACATTAAAAGAAAAGTGATTTTATCAGACCACTACGAAAATAATGATACATTAAACGAAATGTGATGCATTAGACCAGGGGTCTCCAAACTACGGCCCGCGGGCCGAATGCGGCCCTCGAAGTCCTCTCGTCCGGCCCGCGGAGATCTTTTTGTCCAGGAGAAAATTGTTTGTTGGTGATGGCTGAGGAACTTTGCCCAGAAATATCAAAGACATGCCTGGAAGAAACTAGCCTCCGAACTGAAATTTGATAGTTAGTGCGGCCCTCGGACTGAAAAGTTTGGAGACCCCTGCATTAGACCACTAAATAAAATCGTTTTATTCTATACCAAGCTTGGCTTGGTACTTAATGCAACTCTCAATCGATTCGGTAGTTCATAAAAAATATATTTTTAACTACACAAATGACAATACAAAAATCAACCAATCTCTGACCAATGTAGCACCAACCTATATTTGGAAAATGCATCATAACACTGACCCTTGACCAGTGGACTGAAATACTTACTTTCTTTAGGTTCATGACAGATGCTGGCGGCTTATGGCACCAAGTGTAGGTACACTTTGGACATTTAACGCAGCTCGCCTTAAACTGGGACACGATGGACTGCAGGATGGAAGCGAAGGGTGTGATTCCTATACCCGACCCGATGAGAACAGCGTGCTCGGATTCATATATATGACGACTTGGTGTTCCATAAGGGCCATCTAAATGGCACTACACACAATACAAATAAATTTTAAGTTTAGTTCTTAGATATTCTTATTATCAACTAAAATATAGAAAAGTATATATATATATATATATATATATATATATATATATATATATATATATATATATACATATATACATATATATATATACATACATACATATATATATATATATATATATATATATATATATATATATATATATATATATATATATAAACCTTTAAAGCAAACTAGCTTTATTCTCCCCCCCCCCCCCCCGTTCATTATTAAGTTATTGATTAAGTTTATTATTAAGTTATTTTTTTCATATTCGTTTTATCTTTAAAATTTCGTTCTAAAGAAAGTTAACAGAACATAGGTTAGGTTAAAATACAATTTGTAGATGGCGATCCCTAGAGAGAGTTATCTGCCCCTTCTTACTGCCTGTCGAAACCAGCCGTCCATGACCAACAGGTTGATAGAGTAACACAGCCTTGTAGGAATTCTACTGTTATCTCCCCTTTTATTATTGAATGCGGCAATCTTTGAATACATTTTAACTACTAATTTAATATTTAATTAGATAAAAAACTGAATTGATATTTTTCCTATGTCATCTAAGACGAACGTGTCTAGACAGCTTGAATCATATCGATTATAGGAATCATATCGATTATAGGAATCATATCAATTATAGGAATCATATCGATTATAGGAATCATATCGATTATAGGAATCATATCGATTATAGGAATCATACAATGTTAAGACTGATTCAGAAGCACTAAGACCTACACTAAGAGAGTTTAGAAGCACTAAGACCTACACTAAGACAGTTTAGAAGCACTAAGACCTACATTAAGACCTACGCTAAAACAGTTTAGAAGCACTAAGACCTACTTTAAGACCTACACTAAGACAGTTTAGAAGCACTGAGACCTACACTAAGACCTACACTAAGACATACACTAAGACCTACACTTATACGGTTTAGAAGCACTAAGACCTACACCAAGACAGTTTAGAAGCACTAAGACCTACATTAAGACCTACACTAAGACCTACACTAAGACAGTTTAGAAGCACTAAGACCTACGCTAAGACCTACACTAAGACCTACACTAAGACTGTTTAGAAGCACTAAGACCTACGCTAAGACCTACACTAAGACAGTTTAGAAGCACTAAGACCTACACTAAGACCTACGCTAAGACCTACACTAAGACCTACACTAAGACAGTTTAGAAGCACTAAGACCTACACTAAGACCTACACTAAGACCTACACTAAGACAGTTTAGAAGCACTAAGACCTACACTAAGACCTACGCTAAGACCTACACTAAGACCTACACTAAGACAGTTTAGAAGCACGCTTACCTGGACCCTGGCACATTTGGTGACCACCCTCCGTCTAATGTTGGCATCTATAAGTCGAGCTTTGAGCGGTTTCTGCTTTTGCCAAGCTATAGAGGAAGCTCTGCGAATCAGATTTGACTTCCTTTCTGTGTCTACTGCGTTATCTGATATTTGAAAAAAAAAGCAGTCAGCCTTAAGCTTAACTTTTGATCAGGGACGTAAAGTAACCTTTGTTGTGTGAATACTTACCACCTGTGTTTTCTATATCTTCACACACGTAGTTGACGAAATAATCGTGCAAAGATTGTGTCCAATAGCCAGCACATCTGATGTGAAGCCCCAAAGAATCTACGGAACCAAAGCCGATTTAAGATTAGTAATCTTTTGTACTGTCTGGCTAGTTTCACAAGGCTTACTTCTTTTCAAGTCTATAACTATTGACTACAGATTTGTTTGAGAAACTATTGGCTACAGATTTGTTTGAGAAACTATTGGCTACAGATTTGTTTGAGAAACTATTGACTACAGATTTGTTTGAGAAACTATTGGCTACAGATTTGTTTGAGAAACTATTGGCTACAGATTTGTTTGGGAAACTATTGGCTATAGATTTGTTTGAGAAACTATTGGCTACAGATTTGTTTGAGAAACTATTGGCTACAGATTTGTTTGAGAAACTATTGGCTACAGATTTGTTTGAGAAACTATTGGCTACTGATTTATTTGAGATAACTATTTATATTTTAGATAACTATTTATATGAAAGAAAACTATTTATATTTGAGATAAATATTTATATTTATTCTTTGAAGTTTATCTTGTCAAAGTATTTAGTTAAAAAAAAACTCGTAAACATAAAAATAGGATTTTTATAGGGGCAGAAGTTAAAGGGGCAGATGTTAGAGGGGCAGATGGGCAGATGTTAAAGGGGCAGATGGGCAGATGTTAGAGGGGCAGATGTGCAGATGTGGGAGGGGCAGATGTAAGAGGGGCAGATGGGCAGATGTTAAAGGGGCAGATGGGCAGATGTTAGAGGGGCAGATGTTAGAGGGGCAGATGTTAGAGGGGCAGATGTTAGAGGGGCAGATGTTAGATGTGCATATGTTAGAGGGGCAGATGTTAGATGGGCATATGTTAGAGGGTGAGATGTGAGAGGGTGAGATGTTAAATGGGCAGATGTTAGTGGGGCAGATGTTAGAGGGCAGATGGGCAGATTTAGAGGACATATGTTAGAGGGCAGATGTTAGAGGGCAGATGTGAGAGGGCAGATGTGAGAGGGGCAGAAGTTAGAGGGGCAGATGTTAGAGGGGCAGATGTTAGAGGGGCAGAGATCGAAATTGAAATTTGCATCAAGGTGAAGTTTACCTGGAGGTGAAGGTTACCTGGAGGTGATGGTTACCTGCTTGTTCTGGTGCACTGCTGATGGTGAAGGGATGCCACTCGTGCTTGGAGATAGCGGGGATTTTAATAAAGACATAATCTCCTGCTTTGAATGTGAATCCTGCCGGTCTTGATATTAGCAGGTGAGTGACCTAAATCAAATAGAACTGCTTCAGTTAATATTTGGACATCCATCTTCAATAAATGGTGCTAGTTTTGTCTACATATAAAGTTGTCCAAAGATAACAGTGACCCTTCAATACAGCTGTACAGTACATGCATGTGACCTTCAATACAGCTGTACAGTACATGCATGTGACCTTCAATACAGCTGTACAGTACATGCATGTGACCCTTCAATACAGCTGTACAGTACATGCATGTGACCTTCAATACAGCTGTACAGTACATGCATGTGACCCTTCAATACAGCTGTACAGTACATGCATGTGACCTTCAATACAGCTGTACAGTACATGCATGTGACCTTTAATACAGCTGTACAGTACATGCATGTGACCTTCAATACAGCTGTACAGTACATGCATGTGACCCTTCAATACAGCTGTACAGTACTTGCATGTGACCCTTCAATACAGCTGTACAGTACATGCATGTGACCCTTCAATACAGCTGTAAAGTTCATGCATGTGTCACTTCAATACAGCTGTAAAGTTCATGCATGTGTCACTTCAATACAGCTGTACAGTACATGCATTTAGTTCTTTTAAAGTGTGCCGAGAGTTAGAATTTCTCTGCAGTTACAGTAGTTTGTTGGTTTTGGGTACCTCAGATGGCAAAATGCAGACCGACTGGATGTAAGTCTTGCCCATGTAGGCTGTTCTAATCCACGAGATGGTTGACACGGCCTCCAACAGGAAGACAAATCCAGGGACAACAAACCACTTCCAGAAGTCTGCACAGTGGACAATCAGCAGGACCCAGAAGGCCAGGTAAAGCTTGTGACTCCAGTAGAATACCTGACGGAATATTCGATCATCAACACAAGGACAGTAGAATACCTGACGGAATATTCGATCATCAACACAAGGACAGTAGAATACCTGACGGAATATTCGTTCATCAACACGAGGACAGTAGAATACCTGACGGAATATTCGTTCATCAAAACGGGCCATCAACACAAGGACAGTAGAATACCTGACGGAATATTCGATCATCAACACAAGGACAGTAGAATACCTGACGGAATATTCGATCATCAACACAAGGACAGTAGAATACCTGACGGAATATTCGTTCATCAACACAAGGACAGTAGAATACCTGACGGAATATTCGTTCATCAACACAAGGACAGTAGAATACCTGACGGAATATTCGTTCATCAACACGAGGACAGTAGAATACCTGACGGAATATTCGTTCATCAACACAAGGACAGTAGAATACCTGACGGAATATTCGTTCATCAAAACGGGCCATCAACACAAGGACAGTAGAATACCTGACGGAATATTCGATCATCAACACAAGGACAGTAGAATACCTGACGGAATATTCGTTCATCAACACAAGGACAGTAGAATACCTGACGGAATATTCGTTCATCAAAACGGGCCATCAACACAAGGACAGAACATACAAATCCAATGATAAAGTCTTGCTATTAGGAAATAAACTAATTGGGAAAGGGAGGGGGTAAAAAATATGGAAGATATGACAATGAATCAATTGCTGGGATGTGTGAAAACCTCCATTGAGTCAGGGAAAGTGCCTCACGTGATAGATATTGTGTGCAACTGTTGGATAAGTTGATTCACGTGATAGATATTGTGTGCAACTGTTGGATAAGTTGATTCACGTGATAGATATTGTGTGCAACTGTTGGATAAGTTGATTCACGTGATAGATATTGTGTGCAACTGTTGGATAAGTTGATTCACGTGATAGATATTGTGTGCAACTGTTGGATAAGTTGATTCACGTGATAGATATTGTGTGCAACTGTTGGATAAGTTGATTCACGTGACAAATATTGTATGCAACTGTTGGATAGGTTGATTCACGTGACAGATATTGTATGCAACTGTTGGATAGGTTGATTCAGCCAGGGCACATAATTTCTTCTCTGTACTCACCTCAAAGCATCCACTGCGTCTTATGAATGGCAAGGACAATACAACCATCACTACAAGTATCAGGCACAGAGCAACGCCTAAAGGAAGTAAAAACAAAACTTCAAAAAAAATTATGAAACGACTTGTTTCCATGTTTTACTATGTCCTTAAAACATCTGAATCTTGTGTGGGATGTCATTAAGACACGCAGTGTTTCTTCCAGACTTTTTTCTCCGGGGGGGCCTTGAAATTTTTGGGGGGAGGGGGGGGGGGGCGTTAGACTTTCTTCGGGGGGGGGGGGGGAGGACACTGTTAAAAGTATATATTTTCTATATAAATTATATAAATTATATAAATTTCATTTCGTTCGGGGGGGGGGGGGGGGCGGTAAAATCTTTACGGGGGGGGGGGGGTTCGCTCCCCCGAAGAGATGCCTGGAAGAAACTCTGAAGACATGTGTGGGATGTCCTTAAGACATGTGTGAATCGTGTGTGGGATGTCCTTAAGACGTGTGGATTATGTGTGGGATGTCCTTAAGACGTGTGGATTATGTGTGGGATGTCCTTAAGACATGTGTGAATCGTGTGTGGAATGTCCTTAAGACATGTGTGAATCGTGCGTGGGATGTCCTTAAGACGTGTGGATTGTGTGTGGGATGTCTTTAAGACATGTTTGGATTGTGTGTGGGATGTCCTAAAGACGTGTGGATTGTGTGTGGGGTGTCCTAAAGACGTGTGGATTGTGTGTGAGATGTCCTTAAGACATGTGTGAATCGTGCGTGGGATGTCCTAAAGACGTGTGGATTATGTGTGGGATGTCCTTAAGACATGTGTGAATCGTGCGTGGGATGTCCTTAAGACATGTGTGAATCGTGTGTGGGATGTCCTTAAGACGTGTGGATTGTGTGTGGGATGTCTTTAAGACATGTTTGGATTGTGTGTGGGATGTCCTAAAGACGTGTGGATTGTGTGTGGGATGTCCTAAAGACGTGTGGATTGTGTGTGGGATGTCCTTAAGACGTGTGGATTGTGTGTGGGATGTCCTAAAGACGTGTGGATTGTGTGTGGGATGTCCTTAAGACATGTGTGAATCGTGTGTGGGATGTCCTAAAGACGTGTGGATTGTGTGTGGGATGTCCTTAAGACGTGTGGATTGTGTGTGGGATGTCAGGTAACTAACCGGTCAATGGTGCCGTGCCAGCTATCCATCCAATGTCGGCTTTTGTGGTGAATACAACCTCCAGCACTGACATGTGTTTATCTTGGGCTACAAGAACTGAAATAGTTGAGACATGTGTTTATCTTGGGCTACAAGAACTGAAATAGTTGAGACATGTGTTTATCTTGGGCTACAAGAACTGAAATAGTTGAGACATGTGTTTATCTTGGGCTACAAGAACTGAAATAGTTGAGACATGTGTTTATCTTGGGCTACAAGAACTGAAATAGTTGAGACATGTGTTTATCTTGGGCTACAAGAACTGAAATAGTTGAGACATGTGTTTATCTTGGGCTACAAGAACTGAAATAGTTGAGACATGTGTTTATCTTGGGCTACAAGAACTGAAATAGTTGAGACATGTGTTTATCTTGGGCTACAAGAACTGAAATAGTTGAGACATGTGTTTATCTTGGGCTACAAGAACTGAAATAGTTGAGACATGTGTTTATCTTGGGCTACAAGAACTGAAATAGTTGAGACATGTGTTTATCTTGGGCTACAAGAACTGAAATAGTTGAGACATGTGTTTATCTTGGGCTACAAGAACTGAAATAGTTGAGACATGTGTTTATCTTGGGCTACAAGAACTGAAATAGTTGAGACATGTGCTTATCTTGGGCTACAAGAACTGAAATAGTTGAGACATGTGTTTATCTTGGGCTACAAGAACTGAAATAGTTGAGACATGTGTTTATCTTGGGCTACAAGAACTGAAATAGTTGAGACATGTGTTTATCTTGGGCTACAAGAACTGAAATAGTTGAGACATGTGTTTATCTTGGGCTACAAGAACTGAAATAGTTGAGACATGTGTTTATCTTGGGCTACAAGAACTGAAATAGTTGAGACATGTGTTTATCTTGGGCTACAAGAACTGAAATAGTTGAGACATGTGCTTATCTTGGGCTACAAGAACTGAAATAGTTGAGACATGTGCTTATCTTGGGCTACAAGAACTGAAATAGTTGAGACATGTGTTTATCTTGGGCTACAAGAACTGAAATAGTTGAGACATGTGTTTATCTTGGGCTACAAGAACTGAAATAGTTGAGACATGTGTTTATCTTGGGCTACAAGAACTGAAATAGTTGAGACATGTGCTTATCTTGGGCTACAAGAACTGAAATAGTTGAGACATGTGCTTATCTTGGGCTACAAGAACTGAAATAGTTGAGACATGTGTTTATCTTGGGCCACAAGAACTGAAATAGTTGAGACATGTGTTTATCTTGGGCCACAAGAACTGAAATAGTTGAGACATGTGTTTATCTTGGGCTACAAGAACTGAAATAGTTGAGACATGTGTTTATCTTGGGCTACAAGAACTGAAATAGTTGAGACATGTGTTTATCTTGGGCTACAAGAACTGAAATAGTTGAGACATGTGTTTATCTTGGGCTACAAGAACTGAAATAGTTGAGACATGTGTTTATCTTGGGCTACAAGAACTGAAATAGTTGAGACATGTGTTTATCTTGGGCTACAAGAACTGAAATAGTTGAGACATGTGTTTATCTTGGGCTACAAGAACTGAAATAGTTGAGACATGTGTTTATCTTGGGCTACAAGAACTGAAATAGTTGAGACATGTGCTTATCTTGGGCTACAAGAACTGAAATAGTTGAGACATGTGTTTATCTTGGGCTTCAATATTGGTGAGGTCACCACATCACATTAGACTTTGTGAGGTCAAGTCGTTAAATTAGACTGTGTGAGGTCAAGTCGTTAAATTAGACTTTGTGAGGTCAAGTCGTTAAATTAGACTTTGTAAGGTCAAGTCGTGAAACTAGACAGAAATACACTACTAACAAGCATTTCCTAAGTGAGCAACAGTATGGCCAACACTTTGAATGGTGATCATGTAGCCACAAATTTTGTGAAACATGATATGTTGATCAAATGGCAACACCTTGACCAACGGAGTAGCACGGAGATATGTTATCAACCGTCTAAGCATTAAGACAACAATAAATGTACAGTTAAAGTCTAGGCAGAGGCCGAATATTCGAGCTACCTGCAAATAGATAAAGTATATATATATATATATATATATATATATATATATATATATATATATATATATATATATATATATATATATATATATATATATATATATATATATATATATATGTTTGTGTGTGTGTGTGTGTTTGTCTAGATCTGTATCTATCTATAAGTCTATGTTTAAGTCTATTTCTTTATCTTTATTTATATATGTATTTATAAAGCTTGTATATTTATATAGAAGAAATAAGACAGTTCAATCAAGCTCTATGAAATGAGAGTAATACAGAGAGAAGTACACCTACAATGAGCCAGGTGTTTTTGTGCCAATACCTCCAGGCATTACACACGCCCAGACCTGCATTTATCAACAGGTAAAAAAAGAGGAAAAATATTTTCTTGAAGTTGTTCTGGATGTAGGTGGTGGTCAGGTGACGACAACATCTTTCTTTTTTTTTCGTTTCGTCTGCGTTACTGAATGAAGATAGAAGTATGGATAGTTACGTCAGTGTTACTGAATTAAGATAGAAGTATGGATAGTTACGTCAGTGTTACTGAATGAAGACAGAAGTATGGATAGTTACGTCAGTGTTACTGAATGAAGATAGAAGTATGGATAGTTACGTCTGTGTTACTGAATGAAGATAGAAGTATGGATAGTTACGTCAGTGTTACTGAATGAAGATAGAAGTATGGATAGTTACGGGGACCGTAAACAGCAGTTTGCTTTGATATTTAATTAAAAAAAAGATTTCTTACACAATTTACACACATTTTACGATACCAAAGCAAAATTAATTATGCACTTTATGCAATAAATAACCAGACAACTTACTCATAAACAATGAATATAAACATTTAAATACACACGAAAACTTTAGAATCAGAAAAGACATATTCCACTTAACTGGGCGAATTATTTAACAGAAAAACATGTACTACTAAACAAGGGAACTTACTCGTCAGAAAACACATACTCAATGCCAGCTTGTGTGTTGGACATCAGCGTACTGTAAAGTAAATGGTTAGATTATTGTGGTGTAAACAAGAGAATTGTTAGATTATTGTGGTGTAAACAAGAGAATTGTTAGATTATTGTGGTGTAAACAAGAGAATTGTTAGATTATTGTGGTGTAAACAAGAGAATTGTTAGATTATTGTGGTGTAAACAAGAGAATGGTTAGACCATTGTGGTGTAAACAAGAGAATTGTTAGACCATTGTGGTGTAAACAAGAGAATGGTTAGACCATTGTGGTGTAAACAAGAGAATGGTTAGACCATTGTGGTGTAAACAAGAGAATGGTTAGACCATTGTGGTGTAAACAAGAGAATTGTTAGACCATTGTGGTGTAAACAAGAGAATGGTTAGACCATTGTGGTGTAAACAAGAGAATGGTTAGACCATTGTAGTGTAAACAAGAGAATGGTTAGATTATTGTGGTGTAAACAAGAGAATTGTTAGATTATTGTGGTGTAAACAAGAG